CGTATTCTGAGATGGCAAAATCTTTACATTTTTCTCCGACAACCGTATGATAAAGTATACTAGAAATATAAATGCTGAACAATTATCAGCAACACGTGAAAACTACGGAGGCTCCTAAGAAAGAAGATGTAGCCAGTGACTGACAAGAATAGTAATGACACATAAAATTTCTTTTATCTAACAAGTCCCTTCAGGATGTGAGCGATCATGGCACTCCACAATTTCCTTTCTTTTTTGCTTCAAGTATTTTTTTACCATTTACCTATTTGACACCTCCTGTTCTATCGTCCATTAACGCAAACTCATTAGGCAGTTACTCGCAACTGCACTTTTTTTTTTACTAATAATCACCCAGTGCAAGGCCCAAAAGCCACTCAAGGTAGAGGTTTACCGTGTGGAGTTGTATTAGCGTAGGAAAGGACAAGTGTTAGAAGTATAGAGTTGAAGTAGACTTTAGAAGGAACGCCATCCTAAACATGAAACAAAGGATAAACCTTTACTCTTGTTCGAAAAACCAGGGGAGGAGGAATGTGAACCGGACGATAGGCAATTTTATCTATCTACTCATAGTTTTACATTCAATATGTCCTGTAAGTGCTAAATTCCTTAGAGCAGCTCCCCCTCATTAGTTGTCCCAACAATTTTTGCTGTCTCTTTCTGATTGTAAGTATAAAATGGGAAGATTATATTGAATCAATTGCTAGATCTGCCGCCAGGAAAGTTGGTACACTTTGTCGTAGTTGACAATTTTTCTCGTTAGATTCTATCTTACACATTTATAAATCTACCATTTGACCATGCATTGAATATTGCTACCACAACTGGTCTGGTGCTTCTGCTATATATTTAGAGAATCTTGATAAAATACATAGAAGAACCTGAAATGTTATCGGTCCTGACCTGGTATCTCGGCTTCAGTCACTTTTCTATCACCGTGATGGGATTTTCCTGTTCCTATTCTATAATTATTTTCATAATAATTGTTCTGGTGAGCTTTTCTCTTTGGTACCTAGACCTTACGAATTTTAGCGTAGTACTAGATTGGCGGTTAGGTCTCATCATTTTACAGTTCAAATGGCTAGATGTAACCGTAAGTTCTATACTAACAGTTTCTTCTCCCGCACTTCTCGCTTGTGGAACTCTCTTCCGGCTTTTTACTTTCACCATTGATCTTCAAAAATTTTAAATCAATGTCTATCATTATCTTGTCTTATTAATTCCTATATTTTTATTGTTCTCTCTCCTTAATGATGATTTCTTTCTTCTCATATTCTTTCATGGTCCGTTAGTGTATTTATTGCTTTGCTTCGGATGAAATGATTTAAAAATTATGTTTCCCTTTAGTTCGTATTTTCCATAAAACTTCCTCATTGCTCACATGTTTCATCAATGGTATTCTCAGTATTCATCGGCAGAAATACATCTGTCACTTCAAGTCTCATCTGTAAGCAATCTGGCCAGCATACCCTGCCATATAGGAGAGTATATATTATCTTAAGCTCTTTTTCGTTTGTTTCTAACAATATTTTTCTATCTCTTAATACTTTGCTTAGTTTCTGGAAGACAACTTTCGCTATTTATATACACCTTTGGATTTTTGAGTTACAGTTTCCGTCGTTTATTACTGCACTATCCCGATTATATTAATTCCAATACAATGCTGATACTGCTCAACTCAAACCACAGCACACGGCACACTGCATAAGATAGGGTTTCTTAGTCGTCGTGCCAGTGTTGTTCTTTCCCCCCAAATCATTTAGTGGGCCAGAGAACATCACAGTTGGACTGCAGAAGACTACTGCACTGTGATTTGGTTAGGTGAGACATATTTTCAATTATTTTGTGTAGACGTCGATATATAGGTAACAGTATGAAGCTATAGATTGTTGTAGAGTAGTTTTCACAGTGGAGGCTTGTATTTCAATAAGTCGTCCTAAATTAGGTTCGACGTACAAAAACGTTAGGAACTTGAAATAAGAGTTAATGACGCAGCAATCTAGTTGTGATGGTTGGTACTTCAATGTCCTATATCGGCTGACTCGCTCAACACCACTGAGCTCAACTGGCGACCGCTACTATTACTACTACTTATTATGTGTGGGAGAGTCTATTAATAATAGAATAGGTACGTTCAGGTATAACATAGATCCAACAGACAAGGAGGATGCTGCGCAAGGTGTTGGTGATTTTGTAAGATTATGGTGGGTTTTATTGGATTTTGCAAGGACTACTAGTAAAAGTGAAGTCTGTCTTGACATTTTTGTTATACACAGCATTCTTTTGTATACCATTGCCACCTTTTGAGACTTCTAACTTTTTCACCAATGATGGTTTGTTCCAGCAAGATAACCCAACATTTATATGTTTGCTCTTTTGTTCAGATTTTGTCAAATGAGTCGAACTGACAACTTTTCAGCTCTTACTCGCAAAAAATATTTAGGTATATATAATGGAAAATACTGGGTATTTTTATGCTATTTCTCTTCAGGAAATAGAGGTTCATGGCTCTCCACACATTCCTTTTCTTTTATTTGTTAACTTTTTAATGAGCATGAAATTGTATTCTATTGCCTTCTTCACAGTTTGGAAATCCGATTTCTCCCTTCTCCTAAATCGGTTGACTCTCAAGGCTAGAGATCCCGGTCTACTTTGCTATTTAACCCATAGCTATGGAGGGAAGAGATGATTTCAAACTATTTCCAAAGATATTTGTGCGAAAGGGTATGCAGCAAACTCGAATGGAGCTTGAATTCGTTTCGTGTATATTAAGTTGACAGAGCGAAAAGTGTAAAGAAATAAAAGAGTATAAAACAATTCTTACAGCGGAAAAGAACATAAAGAAATGTTTCAGAGAGAGTGAGAGAGAGAAAAAGAGTCCACTTAATAAAAGAAAGTAAAAAAGATTTAAAGAAAAATGAGAACTAATAAAGACTACTGAGAGAGAGGGGGGGAGAGGGAGAGAGAGAAGGAGTTTTAACACAAATAAAGGAAAAAAGAAAGAAAGAAAAGTTTAAAGGAAAATGACAACCAACAAAGATTATTAAGAGAGAGGGAGAGAGAAAGAGGGAGAGAGAGGGAGAAAGAGGGGAGAGAGAGAGGGAGAGAGGGGGGAGGGGGGAGAGAGAGGGAGAGAGAAGGAGTTTTAACACAAAGAAAGGAATAAAGAAAGAAAGAAAAGTTTAAAGAAAAATGACAACCAACGAAGATTATTAAGAGAGGGGGAGAGAGAAAGAGGGAGAGGGAGAGAGGGGAGAGAGGGAGAGAGAGAGGGGAGAGAGGGGAGAGAGAGAGAAGGAGTTTTAACACAAAGAAAGGAAAAAGGAAAGAAAGAAAAGTTTAAAGAAAAATGACAACCAACAAAGATTATTAAGAGAGAGGGAGAGAGAGAGAGGGAGAGAGAGAGAGGGGAGGAGAGAGAGGGAGGGAGAGATAGAGAGAAGCAGTTTAACACAAAGAAATGAAAAAAGAAAGAAAGAATGGTTTAAAGAAAAATGATAACCAACAAAGAGAGAGAGAGAGAGAGAGAGGAGGAGGGAAAAGTTTAACATAAAGAAAGAAAAGAAAGAAAGTAAAAGAGAAGGTTTAAAGAAAAATGACAATTAACAAATATTACTGAGAGAGAGAGAGAGAATGAGAGAGAGAGAGAAATAGATAGAAAAAGAAGTTTAAAAGAAAGAAAATAAAAAAGAAAGAAAATAAAAAAGAAAGAAAGAAAATAAAAAAGAAAGAAAGAAAGAGTGATCAAAGGAAAATAAAAAAAAAACAACAAAGATGACAGAGGGAGGCAAAAAGAAACTTAATATAAATTCGAGCGAGAATGTAAAAAAGCAGGTTTATAAATGAAATAAATAAAAAGGGTTTAAAAAAAAACATCATTGCAAAACAGAAAGCAATATGTCTTAGAGAGATAGACAGATAGATAGGTAGATAGATATAGAGGAAGAGAGCGAGGAAAAAAGAAAGAAAGAAAGAAAGAAAGAAAGAAAGAAAGAAAGAAAGAAAGAAAGAAAGGGGAGATTGAGTGAGTGAGTGAACAAAAATGACAATAATATATACAACAATACATTTGGAAACCACCTTTCATTTCACCAGGACGTTAGCTCACTGTGGGAACATATTGTCCGTTCGCACCTAACTTCTGCCTCGTTCTCTCCAAGCATAATTTCCTCTTTATGGCAATTGGAAATCAAAGAAAAATATGTTTAGTTTACACGCTTCAGAAAACTGAAAATGAAAAGAGATAAAATTTCCTATTTTTCTGACAAGTAGTACTACAGCCTCTTTTTTTAACTCTTCGAAAACCCGACATTTAAAAACATTTATTTTTATTCGCAATTCTTTTTATTGCAAATAACCACTGCCAATTTAGTTAATATGACGAAGATTATATCACATACAATCACGCATTTTCTATCGAGTACATCATTGTGGATTTTCCCAAGACTCTTATAATGGCTCTCTGTAACGACATATATTTATTTTTATATACATATATATCTGTCAGTTTATCTTTACATTAAATGTCCTTCTGAATCGATTACAATGCGTTCATATCTCTCCCTCTAATACTTATAAAGGTGCGTAATGTATTTGAGGACTCATTGAAAACCGTACGAAAAACAATCACATCTTACAAACAACTAAATTTATTAATACAAAACTTGGTACACAGATGCAGTAATGGTTGGATTACATGATTATTAGATATAACCGCCCTTAGCCGCGTTGATGCCTTCAATACGGGGCCAGAATCATTGATATGCACGCATCAAATGGTCTGTATTGATATTGAACATTACACAGGTAATGACGGCTTTCAGGGAATCAATTGTATTGTGGAAAGAATTAATAGGTCTCCCGTTCAACAACGCCCCACATGTAATAGTCAAGAGGATTTAGGTCTGGCGAGTTAGGTGGTCACATTTTTGGTGTTATGTGCTCGGGCAGATTGATCGTCATTCAATCTTGGGTCACTACTGCGAGCAGGTGCTGAATCACATATGTTCCTCTATCTCATACCTGGTCTATTCATGACTACACAAGTAGACGTGTCTTTCACTATTCACCATACCCTAAAACCATCACAGAAACGGAAAACTTGGTGTCTATACGTAACCAGCTGTCATTTCTCCGGCTTCTTTCTTTTTAATCTTGATTGAATTCTGACTCCAACCATCACCCTTTCCAAAAAAAAAAAAGTGCATTCCAGGTTCTGGATGCATCAACTTGTTCAATTATCGTTTTGCTCGGAGTAAGCGTTGTTCTTATTCTTGTGTTGACATGAACTATCCTTTGTTTATCACGTATGACTGAATGTCTACATTGAACCAAATTGCAATTGTACGTTCAGAACCTCTAATAGTCCTTATGGACTATTCCGGGATTAGCACTGAAAATTTTCTGCGCCCACTGTACAAATTATGGTGTCCTGATATTATTCAAGCAGTGTAGATGATTTGGCGGCCTTGGGGGAGGTGCCATGTCCCCGCTGGAGGCTTCCGATTTCTCCAGAAGTTTGTGCACAAACAACCTGCAAAAACGTGCAATCTCAACATCGCAGTGCTTTGAGATTATCGCAAAAATTACAAGATGGCGTTTTATGTCATGCATTAGCTTGTAGTTCGCCATTGATGCACTGAAAAAAATAATTGGTTATCACGTAACTGCAGACGAACAATCACAATTACGCACCACACACACACACACACACAAACACACATATATATATATAAATATATATACTTTATATATTTATATATATATATATATATATATATATATAAATTGTTATCGAACAAAAAATTCGTCGCAAAAACACACATATATATGTATGTGTGTGTGTGCGCTTGTGTGTGCGTGTGTGTGTGTGCGTGTGTGTGTGTGTGTGTGTGTGTGTGCGTGTGTATGTATAATGGATTTTTAATCCGACATTATTTCTTATTTTACTTATTTATAAATGTTTAGTGAAAACCAAAACTCATTCGCAAGGTAAAATAACACTTTAGAATATGAGACCTAACTCATTTAAATTTATATATATATATATATATATATATATATATATATAATGACAACAATAATAATAATATAAACGTTATTTTTACATGGTACACAATACTGAATATTTGTTTTGTAGCGTGCAATGCTGTGACGCCAGAGTTCTTGATCAAATCAATCAAGTAAGAATTTTGTTTGAATTTTCACAAATTATAAATCCACGAAATTTTCTTGTTATATGCATTTATCTGTTAAATTGAAATAGACTTAATATAATCCAATTAACAGAGGTCTTAGTAGTTGTCTACAGAATTTAAGAGGATTTAAACGCACGCTCCAAACCATATATTCAACTGTCCATAAATAGCATAATTTAACAAAAAAAATCTTTCGCTTTGCACATATTTCCTTTTAGTGTTTGCCCATGTATAGGAATATTGCGCCTTGACTATGCCAATTTGAAATTGCCGAAGGTACTTGATATGTGTTTTCCATCTGTCAACATATAGAATATAAGGATCTTATTATTCAAGGAATTGATAGTAAGTTAATATCTCATTAAATCCTGTTAGCGAAGTGACTTCGACATTAATCACATTAACATTGCTATTTAATTCTTTGTATAAATTGTTTCTTCATGATATATATATATATATATATATATATATATATATATATATATATATATATATATATACAAGAAAAGCGATACATGCGGTTTAAAATACCTTTTTAAGAATGAAAAATCTTTCTTGAAGCTGTTTTTAGTTTTAATTCTTAGCTAATAGATTAAATTTAACATTTTCACTAACCAAAATACTTTGCTGTATTTCAAACCGAATTTAAATTTAATCGAATTATTATTTTTTCTGATTATCAGTAAAATCTATATAAAAAGGAAACATAAGTATAGATTCTAAAACTTTATTTGAGGCGGATTAGCTGATTTAAGGCTTAATTAACTTAAACTGAAACAAATAATTACTTTTAATGTTAAGTATCGGAGAAAAACATTTCTAACGCGGATAAGGATGTTTTTATGACGTGTTGACAGCTCTATCGATTAATGTTTGGGAAATTCATCTGAAGGCTACATAAATATTACTCATCAAATATAATGTGAACGACTTATATAATTTCTTAACTACCCAGTAATCTTAAAAATTATGAAAATTTTCGAATTTTATTTTAGCTAATTTTGCTTCATAGCTTTACACACTAAGATGCTTGTTTAGAAAATATCATAAAACTATCAATTTCCTGATAATATCGTGTAAGGACATCCGTATATACAAAAATTGAAAGGTTTATAAACACTACAAAATTAATTAAAATTTCTTTTTAAAATACTGTAGGTCGTTGAATTGTAGTGAGCTTTTCCATTAGTTTTAATTTAGTAACAATATAATTTAATCGTTACAAATTAATACAGAATTGTAAAAGTTTATGAATTATTCTCATTAATATTAGGAAAAAAAGTAAAGAATTCTTGTAAAAATTCATTTTTCATCGAAATTTTTTGTCTATAATATATATTATCCATGAAAGCAATTAAAAGATAATGATTTGAATTATCCGAGGACTTGTCCTTATAATTAATATGAAAATTGAGCGCTACAAAAGAGAATTTCTTAGAATGTCATGAAGCGAAATGTGTGGAGGGTAACAGATATAATTAAAAAAAAAATGCAAATATCTTCTAAAAAAGAAAAAAAATATGCATAGATGAAATATTACTCAAATACTTCCGGTCTCTCTCTCTCTCTCTGTGTGTGTGTGTGCGTGTGTATTAGATACCTTCAGTAATTCGCTGATTAAAGTGTATACCATGATGAAAAAAGGAGCCCAGACTTGATAAAAAAAAAAAAAAAGTTTTATTGTCAGAATGTTTATGCTATTATTAAGAGAAAAGACCACATATTTTCCTTATTCATTTCGTCTTTGAATTCTTTCTAGCACGTTCATGATCTTGTTTTTTTTATATATCCGCGACAGGAGGGTGTTCAAAGATATAAAGGAAATTTTAGTGTTTTTTTTTTGCGGTAAAACATTGATTGGAATTTCTTGTAAAAATCAAAGAAATGTCTGATTTTAATGAAATTTTCAGGAATTATTCACAAATTAAATTATTTTTGAATTTTTTTTTTTTTTTTTGGAAAACCTTAGTGAAATTTTTTTTTTTACAACTGTTACCCTTCAGCTTAGTTTTATAAAATTTCAAGAAATTAAAATTTCCCTCCCATTCATATATTAGTTAAAAACAGGACACCTTCGAGAATTTAAATCATCAACAATTTTTTTATAAAACAGATAATTGATAGGTAAATATTGGTTGTTTATATTTTGGTTTTATAAGATGTACTTGTTTTTAGTATGGATAAATATTAATCATTTATATTGGAGTAAGTAAGCATGTAGTTGATTCATTAATAAATATCATGGTTTTCCTTGTAAAGGAGAACACACATTTGATCCTTGCCAGAGAACATTTTCTCTCTTTTACGATTTCTCGAAAATGCAAGTAGATAGGTGTAATACACACTGTTTAAATTAAAATAAAAATAAAATGAGGTGTCTATTTCAAATACGGGTTTCTATTCTAATAACGTTTGAAATCATAATATATATATATATATATATATATATATATATATATATGTATGTATAGTTAAATATAAGAGACAATGAATGTCATGAGCTGTTGTAAAGTTTGTATGTTTGCTTGAATTTCGGGTGAAAATAAAGAAAAAAATGTCCAACATTTCGATATTGTTTTATTAATGTGTTCCTTGATCTAAGATTTCGGATCACATGAGCCTTCTTCAAGGTGGTTATGCAGACTTGAAGATGGCTCATGTGAGCCGAAAGCTTAGGAACAGCTTAATAAACCATTATCCAATTATTGGACAATTTTTGTCTTTATTTTCAACCGAAATTAAAGCAAGCATACGAACTTTACAACGGCTCATAGCAGACATAATAGACATTCATTGTCTCATATTTGACAATGTATGTTTAAATAATGATATGCAGCTCCAATAAACTATAGCTATCTATCTATCTATCTATCTATCTATCTATCTATCTATCTATCTATATAAAGAAAGAAAGAACAGTAAGATATATAATCCAGTGTTCTTATAGATATTTTTATTTTTACAAAATAGTGCTCAATGTAAATTTACAGAGCATTAATATTATAAATTAGTTGATTTAAAATATGTTTTTTTCCGCTACACAGTTCTAACCATGTTTCAAAAATGGAAGCTAAAAGTTTCAAATTTAATTTTGTCATTACAAAATTAAATTCGAAGCTTTTAACTTCGATTTTTGAAAACATAAATTAAAACTGTGTAGCAAAAACCATATTTTAAATCAATAATATATATATATATATATATATATATATATATATATATATATATATATATATATATATATATATATTATTTTAAGACATTTTTATGTTTATAAAAAATATGTTTTAAAATAATTGTTTAATTTTTTTTAATTTCATTATATATTAAGTCATTTTATGTTTATACAATCTTTTTTTTTATAGATACAAATATTTAAGTAAATGTTCTGTTTATAATAAACAGTATTATACAACATTTACCGGCCTGAATGTCCGAGAAAGTGTTACAGAAAATATTCGTCCTTCGAAAGTTTAGTTTGACGTGCCTTTAACCGATTTGGCCACAAAGGAGCGTTCGGTTTGCAAGATCGAATTTACTGTATTTGAACTTCAATTTTATATGAATCTCTCACGTACATTCATATCTGCTCATGGCGTATCAAATGTAAACAAACGACGTCACACATTATGAAATGGACAAAGTCCGACAATTAATTTAAGATAATTATTTTAAGATAATTGTCTTATTATTTTAAAATTATTTTAAAATAATTATCGGACTTGTCCATTTTATAATGTGCTATATATATATATATATATATATATATATATATATATATATATATATATATATATATATCATAATTTGAATAATCTCCCTCAAATAAATAAGACTCGTTATTATCATGCTTCTTACCCTCATTTCTTTGAACACGTCTAAAATGTCTCCAGCCAATATTATCCATGTGTCGTTTAGGTTTTGTTCCTTGTACGCCTTCCTTATTTCTATGACATTCTTTTCAAAATTATTTCTATTCTTTCATATCTCTTTCCACCTCATTATACGTTTTCACTCGTTTTCTTTATATATGCAGATTCTGTAGCGTTTTCGTCGCCACAACAGATCATACATTTCCGCCATTTTTTTTTCTACAGTCATTTCTTTTTTTTCTATTTTTAAACTTCTTTAACAATCACCTCTCCTTTTCACAACGTTCGCGACACGGCAAAACCCGTGAATCTCATCCCCGCTGTCACAATACATGTTACCAATAAAGCGTCCTCATACAATTCCCCGAGACAACGAAACTGTGAAGCCACAGGCCTGAACACGAGCAACGAGGTGAGAAACGATCGAGGCGACCGGCCAGCCTGACTCCTTCAAACAAATCCGTCAGAGAGCCTCTCACGACAGGCATGATATGTTTCCACACCTCTGGACGAGAAACGTCGTAAAATAGAGAGCAAACTTAAGAACGGTGTGAGGTGTTCTATTAGCGGCTTCTTCGACTCCTGGCAAAGCTACACGAAATTTAATAGCTCTTTAAACGGGTCGTTATTGGGTTTGCCTGCGTGTGCTTGTCACTACTGATCGGCAAGCAGCGACAGTAAAAAACAAGACTATCGTCTCTATTGGCTATTAGAACTGACACGGCAGTCAAGCTGACTGATTGAGCCATCGACCAGCCTTACGACTTCACACATTGCTGAAGCTAACACAAGTATTTTCATTTTATACTTAACTCAGTATAAGTAAATAGGAACACATACAGAGAGATCAATGGACTTTCTGTATTTATTTATTGATGTATTTGTTTAGAACTAAAGAATTTTCAAAAAGCAGGGATATATATATATATATATATATATATATATATATATATATATATATATATATGTGTGTGTGTGTGTAGGTATCTTCACAGATTCACTTGGTAACCAAGGATTAAAATGAATTTTAAAACATGAACAGTATTTCATGAAGCTCTTATTTTAGTTTTAATTTCACCTTAATAGATTCGTTTTGAAATTGCTGATTTTTTAGCGCCATTTTTAGTCATCTGTCATCAGAATGTCTCTTTTATTAAAAAAATTTTACAAAAATAAAATATACCTTATTGCAACATTATTTGAGGAATTTTAGCTGATTTAAAGTATAATTAATATGATTTTTATACAAATATTATTTACTTTAAGTTTAAAATATTAGGAAGATGCATTTTTAATACGTTGGTAGTTGTTTATTTACTTTTTTGATGTGTTGACAGTTTGATGACCGATTCATTTTTATCTAAAGTTGTTCAACGGGGTCTTTATCCGGAAAAAGTAATTGAATATAGCGTGAACGCCTTTTATATATAATTTCTAAGTACTTATTAATGTTAAAAATTTAGGAAAATATTCTCCGTGATCTAATGTTTAATTTAATTTTAGATTTTTCGGATTAACATTTACTGTAATTATAGGTTTGTTTTCTGAAAATGCCGTGTATGAACATCCGTATCTATAAAAATCTGTACGTTTATACACATACAAAAAATTCAAAATTCTTTTTAAAGATATTGGTGTTTGATGATTTGTATTAAGCTTTTCCATTTATGACTAGCATTTTTACCTAATAATTATACCATCTAAAAGGCTGAAATTAATAAAGAATTTACAGAGAGTTTATCCACAATTTCGGGCACAATGCTCATCAACATATTCGAAAATTAGAAAATATATTAAAAAACTAAAAAGACACAACTTAAAGGTTCTTTTTAAACAGACTGGTTTGTGTATACATATATATATATATATATATATATATATATATATATATATATATATATATATATATATATATATTTAAGTTACGAAGAACTTGGTAAACCGAATGGGTAATTCCAAGGAGGATGAAATCCTGCGAGCTCAATGTGAATACAGAGCTAATATATATATATATATATATATATATATATATATATATATATATATATATAATTATTTTTTAAAAAAAATTTATAACATAAATATGTTATAAAATCACTACAAAAATAGGCATTTTATTTCAACACCCTCGGTGTCTTATCAAGTGGTGATGTTGAATATAAAATAATTGGTTTTAAAAGTTTCAAATTAATTAACGACGCTTCGCTAGGGGAAAACATTGTTACAAAAGCTAGAATGACCAATGAAAACCCAAGTATAGGAAGATTCAAAAGCTTGACAATGAAATCATGGGTAATACTAAAAAAGAATTTATTCTAACCAATAATTATTAAATTATATGATAAAATTTGATATTAGAATTAAAAACTGCCAATTTTAAAATCCAAATTGAATCACTAATAAGTTTAAAAACTATAAAATTACTGAGGAGAAAAGAAAAAAATACATATGTTGGTTATTGGAATTCATTCCGTATATACCAATTATATACTTGTATATATATATATATATATATATATATATATATATATATATATATATATCGGTTCTTTTTCTTCAATCTCGTTTTTGTATATATATATATATATATATATATATATATATATATATATATATATATAGAGAGAGAGAGAGAGAGATAGATAGATAGATAGATAGATAGATATAGTTGATGCAAAAGTTCTCAGCGATAGTTTTACAACGTTAGAGATGTCTTTTTGATGTTTGCTTAGTGAAGGGAAATATTTTGAAGCCAAGAGAGCTGGGAATGTGGGCCTTGTGCCAGACTTCACAAAGCTCAATAAATATTTGCAATATTTTCGCTTGCTCTCCATTTTTATTCTGTATTTCTTCCTGGAGAATAAAATGACTGTCAAAATTCAACACGAATTTGAAATGTCACCTCAAATTAAAAATGACTGTTCCAGTAAAAATGAATCATAGCACCATTTGAGGAAAGTGTCTGAGACGCATGTCAGATTTTCGTGACTGCCACGAGAAATCTATCGTCTTAGTTTTAATTGGAAATCTCTGTAAGGGCGTCAACTTAAGGGAAGGACTTGCCAAAGATGTCAGGTGCAGTATTGAAAAGTGACGAGGTGAAAGCAAAAACTATTAAGGGAAAGAACTAATCTAACACAAGTTGATGATATCAGTGCGACTAAATTGTTTCCTCATCAATGTGCACCAAATGTGACTCACAAATTGGTAGCTGTATCAAATATGGCGGACTTCAAGACGTGCGACTGTTTGTATGTAAATTAGAGATATCTTAATATGAGACAATAAACAACACGTTTGAATGAATTATTACTGCCGAAGTATACGTTATATGTATACGTTATATATATATATATGATATGTATATAGTTTCGTTCATCATTCAATCTATCTATCTATCTATCTATCTATCTATCTATCTATCTATCTATCTATCTATCTTTCATTTTCTCCCCTCTCTCTCTCTCTCTCTCTCTCTATATATATATATATATATATATATATATATATATTATAATTAAGTAATTCTTCGAGTCTAGAATAGAATTCATAAAGTCTTTGGTCAGATAATGCTGAGATGCCAGGTCAAGACCGATAACTTTACAATTTCTTCTTTAGATTTTGTCAAGATTATCGATATATATATATATATATATATATATATATATATATATATATGTGTGTGTGTGTGTGTGTGTTTATATATATATGTCACTTGTGGGTATATGCGTTTGAGTTGCCATTCTTACTTTTTTGTATCCTAAACACAGAAATTAATGTTAACCGGACCAGATCGAAAAGTCCCACTAAAAAATATGAGAATCTGTCTCACATTTTTACCATCAAATAAACCACTCCTATAACCGAAGCTTGGCGTTACCAATTTAGCCAAGGGAGATAATTTTACTAAAGCTATTTCCAGTTACCTATTTAAGAAAATGCACATATCTTGTAGGGTTTTCTCTGAAACTATAACTAATCGCTTTATTTTCTTAACCGAAACGTAAACATATATTAAATATTTTAATCTACATACCTCCAATGCTATGAAGTCAGAATACCATGATGTAAATATGCTCCAAACGTAATGAAAACATAGTTTTATCGTCAAAATCGTTATGTTATTATTAAGAGGAAGAATCAAAATATTTTGTGATTATTTAATTAAATTTTTTTACTCCTTTTTAAAACATACGAAATTAGCAATAGCAAATTTTAGCCTCTTTTTTGCGGTGAACAGATTAACTTGCAAAAATCACATAATTGCCAGATTTTAATAAAATGTACAGAACATATTCACAAATAAATAAAATTATTATTGAAATGTTGTTATTAGAAGATTTTGGTAAAAATATTTTTTACATGTGTTTCAGCCCTTTACTTAATTTTATGAAAGCTTTAGAAATTTATTGAGATAATTTTTAGTAGCTATATTAATTAAAAGCAGAATTCTTTGAAGGATTTAAATGACCGAATTTTTTTGTAAAATCGGAACTGGTCTTACCGAAAATCTGTTCTGAATCGAAAAAAAAAAACGCAATAAAGTTAAGACTTTGTTTAATTAGAGAAGCATTTAATTCCTTTTATGAATAATATATATTAAAGACAATATTGTCTGAAGAAAAAATCTTTTTTTGACGAAAAATAAATTTTTACAAGATCTGTTTTCAATGTTTTTAGAATTTTACATTGAATCATTTATGTTTTTAAATCTTTTAAAATTCATTTTCAATGAGATAATGCTTAAGAAATGTTATTGAGTAACATATATATTTACTAATCATATATTACAAAGCTTATTACAATCTAACGACTCAGAATATTTTTAAAAGAATTTCGATTTGTTTTTGTATGTGTAATTTCTGGGGTATAGGTGTACAAAGCGATAAATAAAATGTCACGTGTTTTAAGGGTTGCTCCCCCTAACGGCAAAAAAAACCAAAAAAACCAAACAAAAACACACACACACACACACACACACACACACACACACACACACACACACACAAAAACCCTTTATTTTCTGTTTTACCATACTTAATTATGAACACGTTCAGCTGTCAATCGATGTCAATAAATCGATCAACACGTTAGAAAAACAAGACCAGGTATTTAAGAAATATTTGTTTACAACATTTTATGCTATAAGTAATATTTGTTTCAAATAAGATTAAATTAAAATTTTCCTCAAATAACGTGTCAGAAATATATATTTTATTTTTGCAAGATTTTTAAAACCAAGAATTAACTTTTGTTTACAAAGGTGTCAACAATGGCCGTCTGATGGATTTTTTTGAAAAAGGAAATCGATTCCGATCATTATAATTTCTGTTTAAAATACACCACTGTGTATTTTGCTGATTGGACATAGTAAATTTTAAATCATTTAGCTTTCAATTGAAGATAAAATGAAAGCTTCAAGAAAGCTTTTTCATTTTTAATTATTCATTTTAAACCTTAAGTATACCGAATTAGTTGAAGTAACTATTTTAATTCGAAATTATTTCTTATTACTAGAAAAGTTATTTTTAATGGTTTCACGTGTTTGACTTGCTATCCCTATAATTTATTTTCTTAAACTTAAATTAATAATAATCGGTGTGTCGAGAAGTTTTAATAAAAATGGTGTCTTTCTACCGGAATCGAATCTGTATTCCCTAATTTCCATCAAGGTACGCAATCCTATAGACGAAACTTTGGTCAGGTAATGCAGAGGTGCCAGGTCAAGACCGATAACTTTACAGATTCTTCTTTAGAAAGATTATCGAGAAATATAGAACATCAAACCAGATGCGGCAGCAATAAGAAAATAACAAATGCTAAAGTCAACACCACAAAGAGAGACGTGTTCATTTGGTGAAGAAGTATAAGAAAACTGATTTCTCATCCGTACTTTACAGAACGATATTGGATGGAGCTGATGCCTGGTCTAGAGGTTGGTTTTTGGTTGAGTGATATGTTTTTTTTACGGTTTAGCAACCTTTTGCCGCTTATTTAAAGTCTGAAAATATTTTTTGGATTGTAAGAATTTTGGGGAGATAATAATGATTTACTGATACAAGTCCTATTAATTAACCTTTAGCTGGGGGAGAAAAGGTGGATTCATACTTTTCCCAAGGGTATTTGCTGCCAAAATGAACTTGATTTTTCCAATTTCCAAATCTGAGCTGTTATCCATTATATCACAGGAACATTCATGCTTACAGCATCTAATGTTCCCAATTGGTCACCCATTTACATTCTTACCAGGCTAGAAATTGTTTAACTTCGGCGATCATACGAGAACCGGTGTTTCAACAGGATATGACCGTATGCATGCTAGAGGCTGGAGCCTTCATGGAAATAGTCAATAGACAATGATGCCTGGATAAGTGTAGTAATGCTCAAGGCATTACTACACTTATCCTGGCATTATTATGCATAATGAACCGGAAAATTATGTTCTTTCAAATTTGATAATGATGTGAAGATAAATGCAGAGAAAGTCATTTTGTGATTGGTTTTGGTTATTGTTGTGGTATCTTCCCTCTAATGAGGCTATTGTGGACTCTTCCCCTTATTATAAAGTAGTAGGAAAGTAAGCCTCGTGGGGGGAGGGAATGATGATATAGCCTGTTCGTTACTATCGAACTCTCTGCTTGAGCAGAGAGAAACCCGGACGAGGCTTTGCCGAAGGGCAATGTTTCGTCCGTGGAGGTAGACAGGCCCGAACCGTTTATGCGGGTTCTACGGGGATTTTTTGGCCGAGCCTACGGGCTCGGATAACCCACGTTAAACTCGGCCTTGTGCCACATATATCTCTCGTGGGGGGATGTTAAATATTAACGGTGATATAGACTGAATGCTGGTCAACCGATATAAACTCCCAAGTCGTGTAACACACTTCTGTTTTATTTACTGTTCAATATACTATTTATCTGCAACCTCTTGTTTTGCTATTTCTTAACCATTACTTGGTCACAACAGTTATGGGAAAAAAAACTTAAGCTAAATACTATATTTATTCAAGATATGCTGTTTCGATTTCTTCAAAGCTGATTATTATCTGCCATACAAGAAAATACAGCAATTTAACATTTTAGTACCCATTGTTCAACTTCTAGAGAACCTTTTAGGACGTTGACGATCGGGGCTCTCCACACAGTTTCTTATCCTTTGTCGCTTTTAATAAATTTCCTCTCCTAAAAATTGTTTCGCCGTCCATTTACTCAAGTTCGCTAGGTAGGTTATGTGTTGCTTTCCTCTGTTTCTAGCCTTCAATCTGTCTTGTGAGTAACAAATTTTCCAAGCCCACTTACTTTATTATGGAACCTAAACATTTCAACTGTCTTTTCCTAATGTTAAGTATAATCGAACTTTTTCTTTACATATTCTCTAAAACTCCGTCGTTGTTCGGTCCATAGTATCCTCAGCATCCTTCTGTAGGACCACATTTCTATTGCTTCAAATCTCTTCTTCATCTTTGAGATTGTACAGTATTCCCTGCCATACAAGAAGGCTGCTATTATGTAACAATTAACCATCTTTCCTTTCCCACGAATTATTTTTTGTTTCTTAATACATTACTTAAATTTTGGAAAGCATTTTTCGCTATCCCAATGCGACTTCGTTTTTCAGTGTTGGGAATTCCGTCCTCTGTTAAAACAATTCCTAGATATTTAAATTATTGTAATTGTTTGATTTTAGTGTCTCCAATTTGTAATTTGCACGTTGCTAATATTCTTTTGCTAACAACGATATATTCTGACTTATTGCAATTGATACTTAGTCCTTTATTCGCGCTTTCGTTCACTGCCTTCTGTAGTTTCCTTTCTGTGTTTGCTGTCAACACAGTGTCGTCTGTATATCTTACGTTGTTAACCTTGTGACCGCCAATAAGAAATCCTGGTAGGACATCTAGTTCTATCAAAATCACCTCACTGTATAGGCTGAATATCCGGTGAGAAGACACATCCTTGCCTTACTCTGCTTTCTATTTGATATATAGAATAAAGTGTCGTTGCTGACATTTGAGTTTGAACATAGATCGTCAGTGAGCAAACAAAGGCGATCCCATTATCGAATTAAGTAGACCAAGTGACCGTAGAGGAACGCATAATTAGGAAGTCGCAGGACGTCTAAATGATCGTTATTTCTAGTTTATCCTCTATTAATATTCGGATCGGTATTCCTAGTCTACCCTCTATAATATACGGATCTCTATTCTCTACTCTATTTACTATACTATTTCTCTATTCGGATCACTATACGGATTATTGTTCGAGAGAGTATTATCGAGCAAGTATTATCAGTGCGAGTGTGATTCGAAGGCGTCTGACACCAGTATTGTTCAATGGCGTTACTATAGTTGTATCTGCGATTACAAAGTCACTACTACAACGAGCATTACGAAAGTGACAACGAGTATTCGTTGGCATCACAAAAGTTTCAACCAAATTTTTCTTGACATAAGAGAACTATTTAGTATATTTATTGAATACATTTTCTATCCATCTCCAAGCAGTTTTCTGGCAGTATAGGTTCTGGATTGTTCAAACATTTTTTTCCCAAATATACCATGTTTACCTAGAAGTTCCAACGCTTCCTTGTGACGTATATTATCAAATGATTTTCCATAATCTACCAACGCTAGTGAAAACTATTTTAAGGCACAATTTTTGATACGAGACGAGCATTAATTGTCTTTTTACATAGTGTATAAGACCATAATGTTCTATAGTTTTTTTCTTGTATATTATCGATAAAATAATCAAAATTTATACTCGTTTAGTATTAAGAAAGTGTTTCTTAAAATACGTACTACTCGTGGAAAAATATGAACTAAAAGTTTAATGAAATGCCCCGCAAGTTCTCTAGATAATAATTCAATAGAAAACTTATGAATCGTAATCAAAACAGATGTATATGTGAACGTAATGCAATATTCAAGAAAAAGAAATCTCTCGGAAGTAATAAATAAAAGCTACTGTAAGTCATGTTAAATTCGAAACAGTAGAAAAGTCAAAAAAATCAGTTTAATGAAAGACAGATGTAACGTGTAAAGGAGTCCATATTACTATGCAAAATAAGAAAAATAAAATATATATCTAAGCATACGAGACATATTTCAAATGTATGTTTCTGTGAACGAAAACCTGTGAATTTATTTATAAAGAAAAAAATATCATGATTTAGTTCTTTTGCATAAAAACCTGGCAATTTTATCATAAAATATTATTAATATTTTTAATACGAAAAAAATCATAATCTTAATTATTCATTAATATGAATATATAAGTATATCCTAAAAGTTTTGCCAACAATATTTAATATTAATTTTATGCAAATATTAATTTTCATAATAAGATAATTACAATATTTTATTGTAATAGATATTTTATTATAATTCTACTTGTCCCTGGTTTCCGCGCGAAAGTGAAAGAAAGAAAGAAAGAAAGAAAGAAAGAAAGAAGGAGGGGCAAATAGAAGTGTTTAACGTCTTTTGCCTAATAGATAATGAACTATTCTGTTCTGTTAGCGTGGAAAGACAGAAAATCCCATAGTCCCCCAGTTAACACGACTGTTAAGCCCTGCCAATACTTCATAAATAATGAACTATTCTGTTTTGATAGCGTGGAAAAACGGAAAAGACATATCAGAGACGCTACTTAGTTTCAAAGAGAAAATGAAAACAGAAAGAAAGAAAAAGAAAGAAAGAAAGAAAAAAAAGGGACATATAGAAGCATTTATCGTCTCCTGCCAATACATAATAAATAATGAATTATTCCGTTCTAATAGCGTTGAAAGACAGAAAAGGCATATCAGAGACGTTACACGATTCCAGTAAGAAAGAAAAAGAAATGTTTGACATCTCCTGCTAATAGCTCATAAATAATGGAGTAATTTTTTTTGAGAGATGGAAAAGACATATTAGAGACGCTAATTGGTTTCAGTGACAAAATGAAAAAAAGAAAGAAAGGAAATAAGAAAGAAAGAAAGAAAGATATAGATGTTTAACGTTAACGTATAGATAAAGGACTAATCCGTTTTGATAGTGTAGAAAGACGGAAAAAACATATCAATGATGCTTCTTGGTTTCTGAGAGAAAATGAAAAAAAGAAAGAAAGGAAATAAGAAAGAATGGAAGAAAGAAGGGAAAAGGAAAGAAAGATATAGATGTATAACGTTACCATATAGATAATGGACTAATCCGTTTTGATAGTGTAGGAAGACGGAAAAGACATATCAATGATGCTACTTGCTTTCTGTGAGAAAATGAAAGAAACAAATACAGAAAAAAGGAAGAAGGGAAGATATAATTGTTTAACGTCTGTTTTAGTGAAATGGAAAAGTTTTCAGTTAAAAGACTTCATTTGTACACCCTTACTTACTTAAATAACGACTATCATTCATATATATATATATATATATATATATATATATATATATATATATATATATATATATATTTGGTTGGATTGATGTGATTTTGTAACCTTGGGTTTCGCTTTTGTGATCGTCAGGGTTTGTCTGACGATCGCAAAAAGCGTGAAACCCAGGGTTACAAAAATCACATCAATCCAACCAAATATGTTTGCTCTGTCTCTGATATTGAGCGCTTTCTAATAAGTACCATATATATAATATATAAATAATATATATATATATATATATATATATATATATATATATATATATATATATATATATTTATATGCACACACTTTTCACACACACACACACACACATATATATATATATATATATATATATATATATATATAAAATGATTGTTACTGCAAAATTTTGTTAAAGTTGTTAAGCTCAAATATTTTTCGATGCGATAGAATTTCTATGGATATTTTATTATCAGAGAAGTCACCAGAAGCTCATTCAAACATTAACTTAAGAATTAATATATATCAGAATACTGAAATAGGAAAACCGTAAAATTTTCACGGAGCTTTCTAGTAAACAATAGCGTAGTTATTGTCTTTTTTTTTTTAAGTTGAGCAACGTCAAGATAACCATGAGTTGTAGTAAAGATTTGACATCAAAAGAAAAACAAAATAGTTTTAAATTATTGAGTTATGGGAACGCAATATAGCCGAATGTGAAAAGGTTTAACAGAAATCACGGAATAATAAAAAGACAAACTGAAACCGTTGGGAAAATAGGATATAAAATACGAAATAAAATGCTCGAATGAAAGACATATCAAACGTAAAATCCAATGTCTATACAAGGCGCATGTTTGACATTAAGCTGAGGGAGTTAATCATTAACATATAAAAATTACTTTGAGCATTATTTGTTTGCCGTTTATTAGATTAGACATTAAACGAGGGAATAAATTATGAAACTTACGTATTCACTAACGAAAGATGTTTGATTAATAATATTATAAATCTGTCATTTTGACACTTAAAAATCTGAAGGAAAATCGATTGGTGAAAGTGTGAGGATATTTGGCTTGTAATTTCAAAATGGCGCATTATCATTATTACCACTTAATGCTAACTTTTGCCACATTGTCCTAATTATGAAACAGAATCAAATTAGATTTTGATTTTGATTTTTGTACTGCATAAAATATTAATTTTAATCAAATATATATTATTTTGCTGAGACGTTTAAAGGTGAATTTCCTAGCGCCATGTTTTGATAGATAACGGGGAAAGTAAGTTCCTTGCGTTAATCAGGCAACTGTCGTATGCCATTTATAAGCCATAGGAAAATTCAGAATTTAAAATTTATGGAATAAAATATCAGTTACCATTAATAAGGAAAAGTTATATTTTCAACAAGTTTGTCAATAACGATGAAAAATGCATTTAAAATTCAGTATAACTTTTAACGTCTCAGTTTAAATATGTTGAAAAAAGAAATACATACTCTATATGAAATTTAAATCATATTATTTTGAACTTGGTTGGTCGGTTGATTTTGTTTAACTACATATTAACACCTCTATGGGTTATTTAATGTCAACATTTAAATATTTTGCACGCTTTGTTTTATGTAATAATGGTTTTAGTGATATAAGTTGTTATGGTCCAGGTCCTTGTACCACGGAGATGGTCCAAGGTAGAACCAATAAAGAAGAACTCGAACACGGATATGGAATAACACAGATATATTACAAACAGGAATATATACAGAGAAGTAGAAGTGTTAGTACGAACAATCAGGTTTAGTAGGGAGAACAATGTAGTCTCCACCAGTATCACTATTCCAATGTCTTGTAGTAATTGTCTGAACGCGACTCTGTTTCGGACTGCCTCTGACTCGACTGACTGACTCGCTCGCTCTGACTGACTGACAAACTCCTGACGAACTTCTGACGGACCTCACTCCAGACTTCAGGCTGAACAGTATTTAGTCACCCCCTCCACGAGGGCATTATGTAGCACAAGGCCAGTTTAACGTGGGATCTCCGAGCCCGTGAGATCGGCCAAAAATATGCCCTTTGAACCCGTATAAACGGTTTCAGGGTCGGTTTACCTGCCCGAAAGAGACTCCGCCCTTCAGCGTAGCCTCGTTCGGGTTCCTCCCCGCCCGAAGGCAGAGAGTTCAACCGATCAGCCGGTCAGCCGGTCGTCCGACTTCAGACTGAACTCCCTGCTTCCTCTTGAGGCGCAGTATTTATTACGTATGGAATAGTCCATTATGTTATTATGGGTAAGGTCTCATAACATAAGTTTTACTAATTAACCCGTACCTGGGGGAGAGAATAAATGAATTCATAACTTCCCTAAGGTTATTTGCGCGGAAGAGAATATAACGAACCCAACTGGAACTGAAACTCTGCTCTTCGATTAACACTTTCGAAACGTTATCTATGACACCGCCCGCAAAATCCGAACTTACAGCACCTAATATTCACAAGCGGGCACCTATTTAGATAACGACTGAACTACACGTTGCTTAACTTCGGTGATCGTACGGGAACCGGGGTTTCAACATGAAGTGGCGGTAAGTCTTTGTAATTTTGATAAACTTCTATGATACACTATGGCAATGAGCAGCTTGTCCCTTACAGATTCGTCGCAACAAAATTTTCATGTTGACAGAACACATTTAAAATACATCGCACATTTAAAAGTGTCACCTGTGTGGAAATAGGGGAACTTAGATTACAATGGTGTCTTCATTTAGTTAATGTCTTACCATTTTCTTTCAGATACAATCAGTTATCATCATGGCTTGAACCGGTGCACACCGTGTGTTTACTGTGGAAACGTTTTTAAAGACTGGTGAATCTGTAATTGCAACACAGGGAGTTTTTCGTCCCCGTTTCATGTTAAGTCGGAATGATGCTGTTCCGGATAGAAAATCGATACTGGTATTGATTTAAAATTTCAGGTCAACCTGTTCAGCGCTTAAAAGCCGTCCACCTGGAAGACTTCAAAGCGCTTGAACTTCAGAAAATATCTAGGCTGTAAAAATCGTCAACTAGACAAATACAGGCCGTCATTTGGTTTGGAGGATGTCATTTTTAAAATCAAATGAATAAAAACAGACGCCCCTTGTTTAAACAACAGAGAAATATTTTGTTTTAATAACAGTTACTTTGGTCTTTTTGTCAATCTTTCAAATATGGGAGTAATTTCTGCCGCACCTTATATATGCTTTCAATTGTTTTTAATCGTTTCACTTTTAGATTCGACAGAATTTAAGTCACCGCCTTCAAAAATCCTAAATCAATTTAGAGCAATCTTCTTTATATACCTTCGGGAAGTGCGAGATCATAGTTCTCCACAACTTCTTATCCTGTGTATTTTCTCTTTTACTATACTTCTGACCTGCCATCCATTTAAACAAACAGTTTAGATAAGTTACTAGTTTTTTTCTTCTGCCTTTGCGTGTCCCGGACAACGCATGTCTTTTTCGGTGTTTTTCTGAGTGTCAATTTCTCCAAAATTTCTTTCCTCGTTATAAGTTCCAGAAATCTCACCTGTCACTTTCTGATTATAAGTGTTCATTTTGGTCTCATTTCTTTAAAACTTCCTCGTTGCTAACATGTTCTGTCCATGGAATCTTCTGTTTCCTCTTGTAGAAGCACATTTGTCTTTCTCAAATCTCCTCTTCTGCTGTGAGTAAATTTTACAGCGTTCACCCTATATCGGAAGATTGCTATTACATAGCAGTTAAGCACTATTTTCTTTATTCCTAACGAAATTTTCTTGTTTCTTAATACTTTGCTTAGATTTTGAAAGACATCTTTCACTATTCGAATGCGACTTTTGGTTTCGATGTCACATTTTTTGTCTATATTTAAGCTTTCTTACTTGCTTGATTTTAATATCTTCATTTGTAGCGTAAATTTTGGATTGTTCCTCTTCAGTACCCTTAGGCAAACTGGCATATATAGCCACCACATTCCATCAGAACTTTCTTGTTTAAACGAAACGTGACATTAGTTAGTTTTTCTTTATTGTCATTCATTTACCCGTCAGTATAATTTCTATCAGGACTGCACAATAAAAAAAAAAATGTGAAAAGCCACATTGATTGCAAAAAATTAGACGTATGAGTGAGACAGAAAGTGATATATAGAGTATGAGTGAGAAAAACAGATATAGAGAGTAAGAGTGAGACAAAAAGTGATATAGAGAGTACATAGGAGACAAAAACAGATATAGAGAGTATGTGTGAGACGGAAAGCGATATAGAGAGTATGACGGAGAAAAACAGATATAGAGAGTATGAGTGAGACAGAAAGTGATATAGAGAGTACAGAGGAGACAAAAACAGATATAGAGAGTATGTGTGAGACGGAAAGCGATATAGAGAGTATGACGGAGAAAAACAGATATAGAGAGTATGAGTGAGACAGAAAGCGATATAGAGAGTATGTGTGAGACAGAAAGTGATATAGAGAGTATGAGTGAGACAGAAAGCGATATAGAGAGTATGACGGAGAAAAACAGATATAGAGAGTATGTGTGAGACGGAAAGCGATATAGAGAGTATGATGGAGAAAAACAGATATAGAGAGTATGAGTGAGACAGAAAGTGATATAGAGAGTACAGAGGAGACAAAAACAGATATAGAGAGTATGTGTGAGACGGAAAGCGATATAGAGAGTATGACGGAGAAAAACAGATATAGAGAGTATGAGTGAGACAGAAAGCGATATAGAGAGTATGTGTGAGACAGAAAGTGATATAGAGAGTATGACGGAGAAAAACAGATATAGAGAGTACAGAGGAGACAAAAACAGATATAGAGAGTATGAGTGAGACAGAAAGTGATATAGAGAGTATGAGTGAGGCAGAAAGCGATATAGAGAGTATGACGGAGAAAAACAGATATAGAGAGTATGAGTGAGACAGAAAGCGATATAGAGAGCATGACGGAGAAAAACAGATATAGAGAGTATGAGTGAGACAGAAAGCGATATAGAGAGTATGACGGAGAAAAACAGATATAGAGAGTATGAGTGAGACAGAAAGCGATATAGAGAGTATGACGGAGAAAAACAGATATAGAGAGTATGAGTGAGACAGAAAGCTATATAGAGAGTATGAAGGAGAAAAACAGAAACAGAGAGTATGAGTGAGACAGAAAGCTATATAGAGAGTATGAAGGCGACAAAAAACAGAGAGAGTATGAGTGATGAGACAGAAACAGATATAGGGAGTATGAATAACGCAGAAAAAGATATATGGAAGACAAGAAAATGATTTTTTTTCTATAAAGAATTAAAAGGATTAATTAGATAGTGAAGTTGTGGTTCAATAAAATATTAATTTCACAAAACTTAATTTTTCATACGCAATCAGTCGCCGAATATATTCTGATTAACATAAAAAAAATGACTATTTTGAAAAATCCTCCCGCGGTCACACTGGGTAGTCTTGAACATCCATATATTGCTAAAAATTCACACGTAAAGGTCAGTTTGATTTTTTTTCTGGCAATAGTCAAACAAAACCAAAACATTAATCGGAGTCATGTTCTTAAATAGCTTTCTCAAATAGCCAAACCCGTTCAAACATAACTAAGCTGTCAGCTCCCTATAAACGCTTTCTCAGATCAATGATTAAAAATGGCTTCGAACGAATAAACCTTGTAGATCTTAGTGAGGCCCGATTTTCTTCGAACTTGGTGGACTGACGCTAAAGAATCACAAACAGTGCCAAATAAGAGAAACGGCATTATTTGAGGGCTTAACAGTAGCAAGTAACTAAAATGGATTGCACATGTCACCCAAAGCGGAAATAATGACATAATCAATATGTTGACATTCCACACTACTTCAAACAAAAGATTAAGAAGTAAACCGCCATCAATACTGGAAAGAACGATAACAGTTAATAAACCTGATAACCGGTTTTCCTGAAAACTTGTTTAAGAAAACTTTTATAATTTCAAGCAACAGTAGCACTAGTTGCTCGGTCGGTCAAAGCTGAATGTTTCCGTATAAAGACGCGACTAATATTACTATTACTAAGTTTACTGAATTAAAAAAAAGTTATAATCTATAATTGATTTTATTAATTCTGTGCCTTTGTGGTTAAAATAGTTGTCTATGTATGTCTCGTTGCCATTACATTCACTTACGTGATCATACCTTTGGGAAAGGTATGAATTCTCTTCTTCTCCCCCACCCCAGCAATGGGTAAGTAGCAGGACAGATCGGGTTCTCTAACCTTGGATGGCAACTGGTCTACCACAGAAAGAAATGGCAACCTACAGCGGAAAAAAATCTGCCTCGTCAGTCACGTGTCGAAAGATAATGATGGCCTAAGCGTGTATCACGCATGTCACATAACTGACTGATATCTCATTCATATCAGTGCCCAACGTTCAAGTCGAGATAAAAGAGAAAAATCTTCATGCAAGGCAGGTCGGTCATCTCCATCTTTGAAGATAGGCGCAATACAACCTTCTTAACATTAATTTGGCCCTGTAAATATTTAAAAAAGAATTTTAATATAAATGAATTTTATATATATATATATATATATATATATATATATATATATATATATATATATATATATATATATATATATCGTTTATGAATAATGATTTTAGGATGATCGCGTAAACGAAGCGGTGGTCATCACAGAAAGTGGAATCGGCGTTCCGAGTTCAAATTCCGGCCAAGTCCATTGCGTTCATTTTCGCACAAATACACTTGGAAAAGTATGAAGCTATCTCTTCTTCCCTTATGGGTTAAATAACAGGGAGAAATGGCTTCTCTCGCCTTAGTTGATATCTTAAGCTGAATTCAAAACCAGTGGTGAGGCTGTGGCACTATACGTAACAAGGACATTTCAGACACTAAAAAGGCGTTGGGGAGGAGCAGGAAGGAGGACGAGAGAGTTTATGAATAAAATGAATATATATATATATATATATATATATATATATATATATATATATATATATATATATATACACGGTGTCCATAAAGTTCGTGTAGACTTTATTTGTATTTACGATAGAAATAATCTGTAAAAAATGTTAGAAAGTTTAATGGATCTAGCTTTAATTATCGGTAAAATAACTAATGTGATTTCAGGTATTACTGCAAATCACTTGGCAAATGTTTTACGTGAAAAAAATCGTATGAGCCTTTGTATTGCTAATGATGGAGGACATGTGGAAACTTAAATAAAATTTCAATATAACTTTAAAAAATATAGATTTACTTCTTTCTAATCCTTTTTACAAACTATTTCTACCGCAAATACAAATAAAGTTATAATTTTTTAAAGTGCACACGAACTTTATGGACACCTTTTATATATATATATATATATATATATATATATATATATATATATATATATATATATATAAATAAAATAAGATTTAATTACTTAAACAGACACAACACGCATATACACATCTCATTCATTTGCTTTCACTTTCCATTCGACTACATTGTATTAATGCGAAATTGCATACGACAAGGTTTATTACGACCGCTGTTGGTTTTCCAACTGCTGAATCTGTACATTGTATATATAAATTTTCTAACATTTTTAATAATAATAATAATTAATTCAACAAGCTTATTATTTTTACAACTACTTAATTCGTTATAGTATTTTTTTATTAATTAAACAAATTTTTTTATTAATTAAACAAATTATTCTGACTAAAAGAACCGAAAAAATTATTGAATAATTTAATTCAATAATTTTTTCGGTTCTTTTCGACTTACTTGTAATAATGCGAAATTGCAGACAACGACAATGCTTATTACGAACGCTGTTGGTTTTCTAACGGTTGAATTTTATACACGGCATATATAAATTTCTATAGTATGAATTAAAAAAAATCTATCGACAGAAATATTTTATATATGTGGCATTTTTTAGAGTTTGAATTAAAAATAAATAACACAATAAATATTTATTAAAATATGATTTATAAATCGTTATGCAAATTAAATATTACTGCTTATGTTGTAAACGCCATTTGTTAATAATATATATAAAACTGATAATAAATTCGTTATATGTTACCGGTACGGGCTCGTCTATTTTGCTCTACTGATGTTGGGGGTGGCTTCATGAGCATTGATAAAAGATGATATTCCGTATGTATAAATCGTTTCGTTTTCTTTAAATGTAGTTCTCATTCATATTCCCTGTCGAAGTAACTCGCTGGTGGCATTAAACTGGCTGATATAATCGCCTATTGCACTTATTAAGCACCACTGAACAATCAATCAAAGAGACCATATTATTTGCCATCTGCAACACAGTCGACATTCTTCCACTTCATAACTTCAGGCAAACCAATGAAATGGAAGAGAAAACTGTTAATCTTTCCGGTTTGGTTTTGCTTTTTCGAACATAGAAATAAGCGGTAAAATTAAAAGAATAAAAATACCCGAAGGAAGTTGTCAGAAAAGAAGAAAGAAAGGAACAAACGAGTTTAATAAACAAAGAGCTAGAAAAATTGAGGTGCAAAATTATTTTGTTTTTGATTTTTATTTTACTTAACTATTTTCGTTTATTATTTTTTTAAAAATTTTATAAGGTTTTCCATTTGTAATTTTTCTTGTTTTATGTGTTCAGTTTCACCGTTTTTGTTTTTTTTGTACATTATTTTTATCTTTGTTTTACACATTCATCCTTACTTCTTTTTTTAAAGGGTTCCTTCTTTTTGCTTTTTTTATTTTACACTTCCATTCACACCTTTCTTTTTTCATTCGTTCTTTCATTTTTCTTTCTTTCTCGATTCATTCGTTTGTTAGTTCTTATCTTGTTTTCATTCATTTAATTTTCTTTATTGCATTTACTTTCCCACCATCTTTCGATTCGCTTTTCTCTTTTTACTTCATTCTTACTTCTTCTTCTCATACTTTCTTTCATATAAATTTCGGATACTATTTCCTTCTTTCGTTTCTTCGTTTTCCTTTCTTTATACCATTCTCTCTCTCTCTCTCTCTCTCTCTCTCTCTCTCTCTTTCAAATTTCCAACCTTCTTTCTTTGTATCGGTTTGTCATTTTCTTTCCCTTGTTTCTTTCCGCATTTCATTTATTTTTTTCTTTCTAATTTCTGATTTTATTTCATTCTTCCGATTCGCCTTTTTCTTTTGCTTCTTTCATTCCATTTCTGTCCATTTCATTCTTCCTTTCTTTCTAATGTCTGATCGTATTTTCTTCATTCGATTCGACTTTTTCTTTTTCTTGTTTCATTCCATATGCCATTCTTTCTTCCTTTCTTTCTTTCTTCCTTTCTTTCTTTCTTTCTTTCTTTCTTTCTTTCTTTCTTTCTTTCTTATCTCCGCTCTTATTTATTTCTTTCAATTCGTCATTTTCTTTTCCTTGTTTCATTCCACACTTCTTTCTTTCTTTCTTTCTTTCTTTCTTTCTTTCTTTCTTTCTTTCTTTCACTTTCGCGCTCTTACTTCCTTCTTTCGTCTCTCTCTTTTCTTTTCCTTCTTTCATTCCACATTTCATTCATTCATTCTTTCTTTCTTATCTCCGCTCTTCTTTCTTTCTTTCTTTCTTTCTTTCTTTCTTATCTCCGACCTTATTTCTTTCATTCCTCATTTCATTCTTTCTGTTTTTGCCAGCCAATCGCCTTCAGATCATATCGCGTGCAACAAAAATTCTGTAATGTTAACTCGCATGTCATCTGCACGGAGCAGGCAGATAATGTTTAGCTCGCTAGCTGTCTGTCTGTCTCCGGTGATGTATCTGACGTCAGCAACGATGTGTCGTCTCATAAATACACAGCTCCGTTATAGCTGCTCTCAAAACCAACCGCACGGCTAAAGTCTCGCCCAGGGAATTTCTCATGCCGACACCGTGAACACGTTTCTCGTAACATGGCGTCTCTTACTCGCACAGACCGTGCTAATAGGATGGTCGGATGGTTGGGAGATCTGCAGATACAGCCATCAGATTTGATGGCCTATTTGGTGTTAAGCCCTACAGTCACACTGGTCAGGCCTGGGAACCTCTCTTACACGCAATGATGAAACCGCATTTTGAGAATGCCAAGCGGTTAAAATAAATTACCTTCTTCCAGAAAGTGTTGTTTGCTTTTGTCATTAATAACTTTGGGACTGTTGCTTTGTTTAAATTTTGTTTGGTTGCCTGCATGTGTGTGCAGGTGTGCAGGTGTGTAGGTGTATCTCTGTGGGTGCGTTCGTGTTTGTTTTTTTTGTTTTTTTTTTTTTTGTTACTTAGGTTTTATTTGTATTTTGAAAAATTGGCAATGAATGTTGTGGTTTCAAATTTTGAGTATTTGTATCGGAAATACAACTTAGAAACTTCTCAATAGGACCAAGACTAGAAATAATTATATTTTTCAAAATTTCATTTTTTATATCGCAATAGATTAAGCACTCCACAGCACGAATATCTAAAAAAAAAAGAAAAAAAAAAAAAGAAGTTTTATAAAGGTTAATAGGCGCCCAGTTTGCTATTGTAATTGATTCTCTACGGAATCCCCCACCCAAATAAAATAAATAAAAATATCTCATACGTAGTGAATCCTTAAAATTTAGGGGATGTGCGGACGCTGTAATGGATAGCGGCTCCGAATAAGAAATGTAGAGCCAAGTTAGAATTCCAGCTGGATTCGCTATATTCACTTACCGGCCAAATACTCTTGGGAAATATATGAATCCCTTTCCTCCCCCAGCTATGGGTTAAATAGCAAGACTTATCTGAAAAAAATCACTTATTCTTAAAAAAAACTTTTAAAGCAGTATTCATTAGAAAAAAATTACCTACAATTCAAAAAATGTTTAAATAACACATAAATGGTTGATAAATCGTAAAAAATAAATCAATTAATCTGAAAATTTAAATTTGTAATCTGGAGTGCTGAGTGATTTACTACGTATAGCGTAGTGTGACACAAGGCCGAAAGTATGCAACACCCAGTAAGGATCAGACTCACTACTCAGTCCCAATTAATCTAGCGAGACATGCTTGCCAAACATCACACCACGCCGAAGTATCCTTAAACGATTTTCTAAGCGTAGTTTACATGTTGTACAAGGCCGGAAGTGAGGAGTACCTTTTTTCGGAGTGCTTAATCAATATTATTTACATTATTTACATTATTCAGACTATTGTCCTCATCTTTGTCGCCATATTATCTATAAAAAGAATACCCGCTCGGCCCGGTGGCTAGGATCAAAGTGTAGTATCTGTGCTTTGTGAGCTGCCGAGCCGGGTGTCTGTCGAACTCTCTGCTTGCAGAGAGGAACCCTGACGAAGCTCCGCCGAAGGGTGGGGTTTCGTTGGGGGAGGTTGACGGAACTAGCCCGCTTGGACGGGTTTAGATGGGTTTTATTTTTGGCTGGGCCTACGGGCTCAGACATACCCACATTAAAAAGGCCTTGTGCCACATTCAATTCCTGTGGGTGAATTGATAAATACCATCTTTGTCGCCATATTTATTACAACGTTTCGGCCGTTGTACGCTCCGGTCTTCTTCAGGTGGTTGGAATGTTGAACTGAACCCTTTATTTCGCTCACTGGGGTAGACTGTTCTAGTTTCACGTGCCATGTTTAATGGGTGTCAGTTATCAGTTACCTCCTGATAATTTTCCCTCTGAAAGTTCTCCACTGCCTTAACCGGGTATTGAACTCACACTCTTTGGGTCCTGTCACTACGCGTTGGTTAGATCCAGTGATAGTACCCAAAGGAATCGAACCTGTATCCTATACAGAGGACGAAAATTTTCTATGAAAATTTCTCGGACATTCAGACCGGTAAATGTTATTAATACTGTTTATTATAAAACAGAGCATTTACTTAAATATTTGTATCTATAAAAAGAATGTATAAACATAAAAATGTCTGAAAATAATTGTCGGACTTTGTCCATTTCATAATGTGTGACGTCATTTGTTTACATTTGGATACGCTTTGAGCTGATATGAATGAACGTGAGAGATTCATGGAAGATTGTAGTTTAAAAGCAGTAAAATCGACCTTGCTAATCGAACGATCCTCTGTGGCTCAATCGGTTAAGGCACGTCAGGCTATATGACGGTTCCGTATAGGATGCAGCTTCGATTCCTGTAGGAGGGTGAATATTTATGTGAAAATTTCTCGGATATTCAGGTCGGTAAATGTTGTTTAATACTGTTTATTATAAACAGAGCATTTACTTAAATATTTGTATCTCTAAAAAGAATGCATAAAAACACAAATGTCTTAAAATATATATATTATCTTAGTTTTAGTTGATTTAATTTAATATTTCTAATAAGTAAAATATTTTTTCTGTAGTTTAAAACTAATTTAAATTGAATTGAATAGTGTTTTTTTGCTTATATAAATTTGATTTCAGCGCCATTTTAACTCTCATATATCGAATTTTAATTCTCTTTATTAATAAATCTTTTAAAAATCAAATATACTATTCTGAATCTTTATTTGAGGAACATTAGCTGATTTAAGTTTTAATTAATCTGATTGAAAACATATTATTTAATTTAAGTTTAAAATATCGCAGAAATACATTTTTAACACGGCTGTAGCTGTTTATTTAAGTTGTTGACAGATTGTTATATTGACTGACAAACGGAATGATGGATATATCTGTAAAACTTACTTATAACGTGAACGTCTTTTTTATTTAATTTTTATTTATCCAGTCATCTTAAAAAATAGCAAAGTAGTAATATTTTATTGACTTTTCAGTGCTTTCGCTTTAAACTTACTATAGTTATTGCTTTTATTCTCTGATAATGTTGTGTTTGGATGACGGCATTTACAAAAATCAGCACGTTTGTGCCCACAAAAAAATTCAATATTCTTTTGAAAATATTGATGTTCGATGAATTGTACTAAACTTTTCCATTTATGATAAGTAAATATAGTTTTTACGCAGTGACAATATCACCTAACCGGAACAAGGCAATACAGAAATTTAAAAAAAATTAAAACTTATTCTAATTGAAATTTAAAAAAAAGAAAACAATTATTGTAAAAATTCATCGAATTTCTTTTTCTTCAGACATTAGCAACCATAATATATGTTATTTATAAAAGCAATTAAAAGCTTTTCTAATTAAATAATGTCTTAGTTTTATTGCATT